GGCAATATACTGTACATACTGTATTTTCTGAGCTTAGGTTAATGGAACCATTTTGGTTCAGTAAATATAACAGTTTATTTTTTAGAGAGAGAGAGAGTGTAAAAATACTTTTACGTCCTGTTTTTTGTAAAACGTTTTATGATTTTTACTTAAGTTGTTTTCTCATCAGTGAAATTTCTTTTTAACAAAGTCATATTCTGTTAAGGTATTTTTACTTTTATTTTTTTCAAGTACAACTAGATGATGTAACGTTTCATTTTTTGAGTGTAGKGTGTATATTATCTGTGCACTTTTATATTTGAGTGTTTTGAGTCTGAATATATCTGTGAAAGTGCATCATATCGATAGGTAGATCTCAGTAAATGTATTTTTTTAAAGCTAAATGCCTAAARTSTGCGTGTACACATGAATATCCTATRACAACTTCTCAGTCGAAGCTAACATGAAGAGCGGTGCTAAATATGTTTGCTTTTTCCTTCTTTCTTTTTAATGAAGTGCTGTAAATGTACCCATTTGCACACACTCAAGCCCATCCTCATAGCTGTGTGTACATATCTGCATGTGCCTCTCGTAGCTATTTTTGCTGCCCACCTGTTAATAACATAAAAGCCGACTGGGGAGGGGGCTTGTGTCAGCTCAGGCCTGGCTGTGAGTCTCGTGTCTGCAGCTACCACTACGCTCCTGCTGATTAAAGGGGCGACGGTGAAGTCAACACCTCCAGAGACGAGCGGGGCAGCCGGTGGCACGCTGGTGGGCTCACATGGTCCGATGTCAGGGAGGACAGATCAGTTTCACCAGACAGTGAAAACTTGATCCTGGGCTTCGCTGCTTAAACTGGCAGAGCAGCACTTTATTCATTCAGTTTGCAACAGGAAGYATGTCTCCAGGTCTGTAAATATCAGTGTTAATCTTCACATAAATGCAATCAAAAAATGATAGCCTCACTCACTTTACACTCTGCAAGGATTTTAACATTCGGGGTTGCACAATATGCAGTCTGCTGATGTTTTCTGAAACATTTCTGGCCTTTTGCTGCATCATATGATACATAAAGATATTATTTACATGTGACAACATCAGATTTAGTTTGTAATCAGGAAAAAAATGCATTGGCCTATTGTAGAGAGAAAAGTGAAATTCATTTGTAGAATGAAAGAAATCTGACTCCTCCTCACATGACCGTGCTGCAGTCATCGCAATTCGGCTGTTTTGCAACCTTGACATTTCAGGACGCATATCTGTTATTAATAACCAGCCAGGAATGCCAACAGGGTACCATATAGTTTATTTTGTAAGAGGTTAACAATAATTGTTTTGTTTGTTTGTTTGTTTGTTTGTTTGTTTGTTTGTTTGTTTGTTTGTTTTGGATTTTGTTTGTTTGTTTGTTTTTTCAGTATACTCAAGCACTGTCAATGTAAAGTTTATTCAGGGCTGGAATGTACAACACTGATTCAGTAAAAGTTCTGGAAATCTAAATATAAACAAAATACAATGATTTGCAAATCAWATAAACCAGGATTTTATTTTGGTGAACCCCTGCTTACCTTTACTTGAGAACATGTGTCAAACTCAAGGCCCGTGGGCCAAATGTGGCCCAGGGCTGACTCCCGTCTGGCCT